CGCTCGCCGTCTCCACGCCCGTCCTGCGGCGGCTGGTGGGGGACGCGGCCCCGCGCGCGCCGGCGCCACCAGCCCCGGCTCCGGGCCCGCTCTGTTAGCCGCTCGCCCCGACTTGGGCTGGAGGCTGCGGCTTTCCACCGCCCCTGGCGAGGGCCGAGGGCAATCTGGGCTGAAGGAAGCGAGACCGTAGCCGCCCCTCTCGGAGGGGCTCGCGCGCTGGGGGAGCGGGCGGCGGGACCCGCGGGGCGGCCGGCCGCGCTGTGCGGTAGGGGCCGGGGGCGAACCGGCCGCGCGCCGCGGCGGCGAGGGGAGCAGGTGGGCCCGGGCGGAGGCGGCGGCCCGGGCGCTGCGGGGGCCGACACACCCCCTTGGAGCCCCGCCGCGCGGAGGCCGCGGCTGACCGGGGTGACCGGCGCGGGGAACCAGAACAGTCCCCGGGGTGTGCGGGGAGCCTCCGAACTCGCAGCTGCGACTCTACAAAACTGTCGGTCTCTGATTTTCCTTGAGCAGTTGGAGGGGCGGGGATCATCTAAGTGCTCCAAAGGTTCTGTTTCGATTTTATTTTAGTTGCACGTTCCTAGAAGTCCTAGAAGTAGAGCCAAAGACACTTGGGCGTCGAGGGGAGAAGGGGCGACTTCAAGTTTCTATCTCCTTAAAGAAATATTTGTTTAATTTCCCCCGGGAGGAGGGGTGTTTAACACTCAGACATTTCTCACAATGTAAAATATTTATTTAAAAATTCTAGCGCTTTCATGGTGTCCAAAACACTACGGTATTTTACTGTCCCAATCCAAATTGTCCATATCCCTGCCAGTTTCTTCCCTGAAACAATTCTTACTCCTGAGAAAATTCTGAATGGCCATTTTTCCCCTATGTTTCCAGTATAAGCGCTGTAGCTACCTTGAAAGAAATATGTTAAGTATCTTGTGAGAAGTACTACCTTCCTTACCGTGAAGGTACATTCCCCACTCGCTTTTTTACTCACTCATCCTCTAAAATACCTGAACTCTTGGGCTGCAGCACCAGTTCAAATACTTCACCTTGAGAAGCCAAAAGTTTATGGTTTACAATATCAGAATTTAAGTATTTTCTCTCCTTTGGCGTTATCATTAAGAGAATTAAAAGCAAGTTAGGATTTGAAAAGTGGAAAGACTCTATACTTTTAATGTATTCACTGGCAATAAGAAATCATTGAACCGTAATACTTTACAGCAGTTCTCTCTGAGGAGTTACTTCCATACTCAGTGATAAAATAATTGGCGTACTGATTTCAGAGAAATTGTATCCTTTAACAAGTGACTTTCACTTGTCTTTGAAACCATTCTTAAGTATAGAGCCAACGATTGCTTTGAAATGATTGAATTGTGTAGTTTATGCAGACATCTTCTTTTAAAAGTTTATTTTATGAAATGTACATATTTTGTTAGGAACGTAATGCTTTATAAACATGAATGTGATAGGTGTGAGCAGGTCCTGTGTAAGAAGGAGGGAGGGGCAGAGAAGGGATGCATCCTCCATCAACACTGGAGAGCTTAAACTTGGATCTAAAGATAAAGAAGCACCAGACAGACTCAAGTAGAGGAAAAATAACTAGCATACTAGAATACTTTGAAGATAGTATTCTTAAAATACTGTCAGTGTCATAAAAGACAAAGTCTGCAGATTAGAAGAAACTAAGGAGATACAGCAACTAAATGCAATACGTGACCCTGAGCTGGATACTTTCTGAAGGAGAAAAATGTCATAAAAGAGAGTAGTAGGATAATTGATGAAATCAATTTAACTTTGGATTCTAGATGAACGTATTATATCAGTGTTAAACTTCTGAATATGTTAAGTACAAAAATATCCTAGTTGACTAGAAAGCACACTGAAATATTTAAAGAGTACAAGGACGTTGATGTATGTGACTCACACATAGATACATCTCTGGTATCTGTCATATCATAGAAAGAAAGTGATAATAACTTGGTGAACCTGAATGTTTCTGGAATATTTTGGTAAGTTTGAAATGATTACAAAATAAATTGTTTAAAAAAATGAAGCGCTTTAAACTGGAGAGCATTCCTTTATCTCACTAAGAGGAGAAATGTAATGGGATAGACACATGGCAGATCTTTTACTAGCCAACTGTCCTTAGTAACAGATTGGAATTTTGGTCGCCATTCAGCTTTTCTGTCTTTGTTTAATCTATTTGAATTTGGGACCAATAAAGTTAGGAATCCTTTCTTATGTATTTGGTAACTATGATTTCCATATTCATTGATTTAGTAAACATTCAGTATCTGTTATCCTAAGGACTGGAGAAAATAAGGAATAAAACATGCCATGCCTTTCAGGTGCTCTCTGTAGTGGTTACAGGGGAGAAAAAAAGATACAGTTCCTATACTTTATTCAAGAGCTTTTGAGACACTAGCTACTTGTGACTATTTAATTAAACAAAATGAAAATTCAGACCCTCAATTGTATTAGCCACATTTCCAAGTGTTCACTAAACTGTGTGTTCCATCTTCACAGAGGGTTCTATTGAACAATGTTTGTAGTAGAACAGATTACACTGTATAAATCACGTTGGTGCAAGTTAGAAGGTGATAAACCCTATGGATGCTTAGGGGAGGAGAGATTACTTTGCAAGGGGTGGAAGTGGGAGAGATGTCAGGAAGTTTCAAGAAGGTTGCATATAGACAGGTGAAGGCAGAGCAAGAGTATTCCAGGCAGAGAAAAAATGGACATAGCAGAGGCATATTTGAGGGATAACATTTAATTCTATGTGTCTGTAACACCAGGTATGTAAAGGAGGGCTAGGCTGTATAAAACTACAAATGCTGAGCTGCTGAGCCCAAACTATTCTCTAGGCAATAGGAAGTTGCTAAAGGTCATTGGATAAAATGAATGACATGATCAGATAGTCCTTTAGGGAGGATAAAAAGATAGTGTTGCAACAGCTCATATGAGATAATGGAGAGTTGATATAATGTGATCTGTTGTATGTAACAAATCAAATTATAATGGCTTAAGTAATAAGGAAACTTATATCTCATAAACTTGTTCTCCAACTCCTAACCTAAAATGATCCTCCTACCTAGGCCTCCCAGAGTGCTAGGATTACAGGTTTGAGACACCATAACTGGCCCTATCTTAGAAATTTGGAAGTTACAAAGTAGAATAGACTTCAGGTCTGAAAGATTCAGTACCTCAGTCTCATTTCTGCTCTGCTACTTTGGGTATAGGCATCATTCTTTGGTTAATAGCAAGATGGTGTGGTAGTTTCCAGGCATCCTGAACCCTAATGTCAAGAGAAGAAGAAAGATCATTTAGGCTCGGCACCTATAGCTCAACCGGCTAAGGCGCCAGCCACATACACCTAAGGTGGCGGGTTCGAATCCCCAGCCCGGACCCGCCAAACAACAATGACGGCTGCAACCAAAAAATAGCCGGGCGTTGTGACGGGCGCCTGTGGTCCCAGCTACTTGGGAGGCCGAGGCAGAAGACTCGCTTGAGCCCAGGAGTTGGAGGTTGCTGTGAGCTGTAATGCCAGAGCACTCTACCCAGGGGGACAGCTTGAGGCTCTGTCTCAAAAAAAAAAAAAAAAAAGAAAGATCATTTAAGAGAGAAGGAGGAT